GCCCCGGGCCGGCCCTTCCGCCTCCCGGCCCCGCCCGCGTCCTCGACCTGACCCCGGCGCGCGCGCCTTGCGGGCCTGGCCGGCTGCGCGGCTGTGGCTAGGGCCCGGGGGCCTGGCAGAGCCGCCTCCGGCCCGGGCCGCCACCCGTCAGCCGGCCCGGGAAGGCGCTCGGCTCCCCGAGGGGCGCTGCTCTCGGGATTGGGCGCTGGCGAGGGGAATGGTGCTCCAAGGTGTCTTTCTTTTATTCACCTGTGGTTTCCACCGAAGGGGTTAGAGTCCAGTGTTTTGAGGCATTTTGGAAAACCCACTTGAGATGCTGTGAATTGTTTCGATTTTCTTCCTCCAGTTAAATGAGAATAAACACTAGGGGGGCGGGAGGGTTACCCCAGTTGACTTACTCAGCAAAAACAAAATGATAAACAGAAGTGGAAAATCACTTTCCCCAAGTCTGTGGTTGACATAATAACAACGGGGGGAAATCGGGTAGTAACATCCCTTGGTAATATCGTTTTGTATGTTAGACTCATAGGATATGGATGTATTCTCTGTTGGTAGTCTTTTCTTCATGAAGTCCCGGCTGTGACAGCTGACATCAAATAAATGGACCCAAGAGTAGAGATTCCTCCTCCTTGGCAATCACAACCTCTTCTAGCAATGCCATGTAACTGAGCCAAGACTCTTCTCTAAACCTTTTTGTTACTTACACATGCGTCCCATTTATCAAAGAAAAAATTGTCACTTATACTTGAGGAAAATTTTCATAAAAATTTAATGTTTCATGAGTTTATATGAAAATACTGTATTATCAGTGAAACACTTTATGTGCTTATCTGTAATGAATGTTTAATAAAGTGTTAAACTATTTGGGGTTGATTTTGTATGCTGCCTTTTCTCCTAAAGTTTGACGATTTCTTCCTAACTCCCTTCATTTGTAAAATTGGTAAACTAAATTTAAAGCTCTGATCAATAGTTAAACTTACTTTGTGAAAAAGACTTGCACTAAAAAAAACACATTTATTTTTGCCTAAAACTGTTGGGAAGAAAATCGTAAGTCCAGATACACCTGGATACAGACTAAGCCAGAAGTGCAGTGCACAGGCAAGAACTTTGGGCTGGGAGTTGGGAGACTTGGGGATTAATCTTGGCACTGCCCCTATCTTTGTAACCTTGAAGGGCTTTCTACCCAGAAGACCTCACATACTTCATCTGTAAAACAAACTCTCATTGGGGTGCCTGGGTGGCTCCGTCAGTTAAGTGGCCGACTTCAGGTCAGGTCATGATCTCACAGTCCGTGAGTTCAAGCCCCACATCGGGCTCTGTGCTGATAGCTCAGAGCCTGGATCCTGCTTTGGATTCTGTGTCTACCTCTCTCTCTGCCCCTCCCCTGCTCGTGCTCAGTCTCATTCTATCTCTCTCCCTCTCTCTCTCAAAAATAAATAAAAACATTAAAAAAATTGTTTTGTTTTTTTTTTAATAAAAAAAAACAAACAAACTCTCATTAAATTATCCTTAAAGTCCTTTCCAGCTTTGGGGCACCTGGATGGCTCAGTTGGTTAAGCGTCTGACTCCGGCTCAGGTCATGATCTCACAGTTGGTGGGTTTGAGCCTCTCATCCGGCTCTGTGCTGTCAGCACAGAACCGGCTGGGATTCTTTCTCTCCCTCATTCTCTGCCCATTCCTTGCTAGCTCTCTCTCTCTCAAAATAAATAAACTTAAAAAAAAAAGTACTTTTCACCTTAAAATTCAGTTTCCTAGTATACCAGTGTTTCTCAGGAAATGGTGTATATGTATTTCAGGATTAAGTAAGTTTAAGGATGGAAAATCATAACGAGGGGATTATGCCCTAGTTTGTGTGATAAATCCTTGTGTCTAAAATTTAACATACTTTAAGTGGAGCATGCTAGGCATTGCCCAGCAAATGTAGACCTAATTTTTATGTCCACAGCTTGTGTTTCTTTTCTTTTTTTTTAATTTTTTTTTTTTTAACATTTATTTATTTTTGAGACAGAGAGAGACAAAGAATGGGGGAGGGTCAGAGAGAGGGAGACACAGAATCTGAAACAGGCTCCAGGCTCTGAGCTGTCAGCACAGAGCCCAAAGCGGGGCTCGAACTCACAGACCGTAAGATCACGACCTGAGCCGAAGTCGGCTACTTAACCGACTGAGCCACCCAGGCGCCCCTTGTGTTTCTTTTCTTAATGGAAAGATTGACTTAGTTTAGAGACAAAATTGAGAAGAAATTTCCCATTGTCCAAGCATGAATCCCAAGCAAGTGGATAACAACACTTCATATTTAGCTGGTACTTTATAGTTGGTGAAACTGTTGGGGAAGAAGAATTTTCCTTTGCCCTTCAAGATCTTCTGGCTGGTCAGAAATCAGATTGACAAGAGACAGATTAACAGAGGAAAGTAAAATTTCATTTTGTACGTAAGGGGAATCCAAATAAACATGAGATTCCAGGGACACCCGGGTGGCTCATTTGGTTAAGTGTCTGACTCATGGTTCAACTTAGGTCATGATCTTGACTGATGAAGTTTTGCAGTGATGGTGGGGTTTATGGGGTTGAGAGTCAACAGCCAAGAAAGAATTCTTGAAGATGTCTTTGGTGCAAAAAGGTGATTTTATTAGGGCACCTGGGTGGCTTAGTCAGTTAAGCATCTGACTTAGACTCAGGACATGATCTCACCATTCATGGGTTAGAGCCTCTCATTGGGCTCTGTGCTGACAGCTCAGAGCCTGGAGCCCGCATCAGATTCCGTGTCTCCCTCTCTCTCTGCCCCTCCCTGGCTCCTGCTTTGTCTCTGTCTTTAAAAAATAAACGTTAAAAAAAAAAAAGTGATTTTATTAAAGCATGGGGACAGGACCAATCTGCAGGAAGAGCAGCACTGACCTTGTGATGGGTAACTGGTTATATACCATGGATTTGGGAAGGGTAAAGTGAAAAGGGAAGTTTTCAAAGAGACTTTCATATGCTAAAGACTCGCAGATTACTGGAGGCCTAGCTATTGTCAAACTAAGGTTGTTTTTTCCTTTAGCAAAGCATTAACATTAAGACAGTAGGCAGCACTATCAACAATAGCCAAAGTATGGAAAGAGCCCAAATCTCCATCAATGGATGAATGGATAAAGATGTGGTGTGTATATATATATATATATATATATATATATATACACACACACACACACACACACACACAATGGAGTATTACTCAGTAATCAAAAAGAATGAAATCTTGCCATTTGCAACTACATGGATGGAACTAGAGGGTATTATGCTAAGCGAAATTAATCGGAGAAAGACGAATATCATATGACTTCACTCATATGAGGACTTTAAGACAGAACAGATGAACATAAGGGAAGGGAAGCAAAAATAAAATAAAAACAGGGAGGGGGACAAAACATAAGAGACTCTTAAATATGGAGAACAAACTGAGGGTTACTGGAGGGGTTGTGGGGGGTGTGGGCTAAATGGGTAAGAGGCATTAAGGAATCTACTTCTGAAATCATTATTGTACTATATGCTAACTAACTTGTATGTAAATTAAAAAAAAAAAAAGTAGGGAGTTCCTGGAGAAAGTTTTACTCTGCCTGCCTCAAGTATTTGCCAATGGGCTGCAGGTTATAAGGAAATTTAACTTTACCTGCCATTTCCTTCTTGCCTTTGTTCCCCATATCACTATGGAGGGGTGATGTTGGGGCTCCAGGAAAACTGAGTCTCCAGGTTTCTGGAGATTAGGCTATTGATAAGATTGCCTTAGTCTTGTAATTTACTAAGATATTTGTAAACTGATGGAGACTCATGTCCTGCATAACTGTGATCCCTATCAGTTAGCCATTTGTTTTCTGTCCTTTCCTTTGTTCTTGGGCAGCCAGGAGTGCCTGACGAATGTCACAATGTCACACAGATCCCACCTGGGCAGGGCGGGAGGGGGTGCTAGGCTGGGGGCAAAACACAAGCTAGGAAGGAAGAAAAGGAAGGAAGGAAGGAAGGAAGGAAGGAAGGAAGGAAGGAAGGAAGGAAGG